TAAACTACCCTCACAAGTTGTGCAGGGCATTCAAACTCAAACACACACCACATGATAAAATAAAGATAATATTCTGTAAAAATATATCAGCATCTCCTAAGGGCTCTAACCACACACGCACACACACAAATCCATATACACACACCACAGAGTGAACAACGTTGGTAATGGTGACGATAACGACAATGATTGCTGTTGTTTGTACCGCCACTGATGGCTACGTTGACGATGATGACAACGACGATGAGGACGACGTTGATGATGCCACACACTTGATGATACATTTATGACTTGCATGCATGACGTCTAATACAAACACACACAATAAAATAATATATGCGTATCTATGTGTGAGTGTGTGTGCGTTGCAACAAAGTGCATATTTGCAATGCATTTGTGTTGTAACCTCTTTTATGGGATATTCGCGTTTGTTACAAAAAAAAAGACCATTATGAAGACCCCCACTATTCCTCTCTGTGTGTGTGTTTCCAAACGCTCTTTATGTGTTCCCAGAGGATGCAGAGACTGTTATTATGAAATATGACAACACATGAGTCGGAGTCAGTCCTTAGGGCCAAAATAGAGAAAAAAGTAATATAAATTCATAGTATTTTTGTTTGTTTGTGTGTTTTTAGATATAAAACGAAAATGTTTGTAATTCAAAACAATTGCAATCGCATGAAATGTTATTACATGTGTACATATGCATTTATATGATGTACTTTAAAATTTATATTGAAATAAATGTTAATATTCTTGAAATTGGAAAATATAGTGGTTTTGTTAAGTAGAACGATATAAAATATTTTTTAAGGACCATAAGGAGTAGGTTTTTAAAAATACTTTTTCAAAGGTTATGTATAAGGCATGAGGACTGTAAGGCGTTTCAAGGACTGTTAACAGGCGTGGATTTTTAAAAGAATATTTTTTCAAGGACTGTTAACAGGCGTGGATTTTTGAAAGAATATTTTTTTCAAGGACTGTTAACGGGCGTGGATTAAAAAAAAATAAGGTCCATCTAGAAGGCGTGGATTTTTAAAAAAAAAATTTTAAGGTCCATCTAGAAGGCGTGGATTTTTAAAAAAAAATTAAGGTCCATCCAGAAGGCGTGGATTTAAAAAAAAAATTTGAGTCCATCTAGAAGGCGTGGATTTTTTAAAAAACATTTTTAAGGTCCATCTAGAAGGCGTAGATTTTTTAAAGAATATTTTTTCAAGGACTGTAAACAGGCGTGGATTTTTTAAAGAATATTTTTTCAAGGACTGTTAAGAGGCGAGGATCTTTTAAGGAATATTTTTTCAAGGACTGTTAACGGGCGTGGGTTCGCATTCGTCTTAATGTTGCAGCAAAGGTGCGATCTAACACAACACGGAAGCTCGACCCGTCGAAAAGCTGTAAACACAACAGGTAGCCGAGGCCTACTCCGCTCAACTTACCCACTTACTGCAGCAAAAGCAACACATGGGTACCAAATACCACCATCAAGAAATCCGTGGTACGATCAGGAGTGTCGTAATGCTACAGTAGTGTCGAGATGTACAGGAGTCAGAATTAAGTCCGGACATTTTACCAACGAGTAAAACACCAAACCGAAGGTATTGGTGCAGGCATATCCTCCTGTAGAGATGAAGAACAAGGTGACAGATACAAACAGCTTGTTGAAGATCTGGAAGGAGCATTTTGAAAAGCTTCTGGTATCAAATAGTGGCAGTGAAGAAGATACCCCAGAATCAATAAGAGATGATGGTATAGAGTGTATACCACCTAACCAAGATCAGGTCAGAATAACAATCAATGGGGTGGAGAATAATAAAGCAGCGGGTGCCTATGGGTTACCAGCCGGACTATTCAAGACTTGTGGTCAGATGCTGGTAAGGAGCATGCACCAGCTCATTTTTACAATTTGGCTAAAGGAATGCAAAGTTGTTGGACCATACCAATGTGGCTTCAGACCTGGTAAATCTACCATTGACCAGATTTTCACTCTGCGTCAAATGTTGGAAAATACCCACGAAAAACACATCGACACATATCACCTATTCGTCGACTATAAAGCCGCATTTGACAGCCCTATCCGTTCACAGGTGTTTAAAGCCATGTCTACGTTCGGCATTCCTGCAAAATTAATACGGCTATGCAGGATAACCTTAAGGGGACCCCCCCCCCATTCTCGGTGTCAAAAATTTTTTTGATTTAATTCGAATCTACTCTAATTCTAGAATGTCTCTACAAAATTTCAAGTGAAAATCTCAAGAACTCTTAAAGATATAGCCGATTTATTGTGTTAGCATCAAGTGACGGCTAAAGGGCTTCTCAAACTTTAAACGCGTTTTTCTCAAAACGAATGGCGGGCACGATAACTCAAAAACTAATAATCCAATCGGTTTCAAATTTTGACACGTTTCTCTGGGAGTGTGTAGCTCTCGTATGAACTAGTATAAAGCTAATCGGTGAAGATCTTCCTTATTTTTTATCTTAGTTTGTGGTAAAAAATAGGCGATTTTCCATAAAAATTTTTTCAAAGTTCCGCCATTTTGTTAATTGTTGTGCGAAGTCAATAATTTTTTAAGCTCGGCTTATGGAACAACCGTTCTGTAAAAAGCCAGCTAAGAAGACGAAGAACAGGCGTGGATTTTTTAAAAATATTTTTTCAACGACCATCTATAAGGCGTGGATTTTTTAAAAATATATTTTCAACGACCATCTATAAGGCGTGGATTTTTTAAAAAAAATTCTAAAAGGCCATCTATAAGGCGTGGATTCTTTAAACAAAATTCTAAAGGGTCATCTATAAGACGTGGATTTTTTAAAAATATGTTTTCTAAAGATCCATCTATAAGGTGGATTTTTTAAAAATATTTTTTCTAAAGCGGCATCTATAAGGCGTGGATTTTTTAAAATATTTTTTCTAAAAGGCCATCTATAAGGCGTGGATTTTTTAAAAATATTTTTTCTAAAAGGCCATCTATAAGGCGTGGATTTTTTTAAATATTTTTCTAAAGGGCCATATATAAGGCGTGGATTTTTTAAAGATATTTTTTCTAAAGGGCCATATATAAGGCGTGGATTTTTTAAAGATATTTTTTCTAAAGGGCCATATATAAGGCGTGGATTTTTTAAAGATATTTTTTCTAAAGGGCCATATATAAGGCGTCTATAAGGCGTGGATTTTTTAAAAATATTTTTTCAAGGACTGTCTATAAGGCGTGGATTTTTTAATAATATTTTTTCAAGGACTGTCTATAAGGCGTGGATTTTTTAAAAATATTTTTTTCAAGGACTGTCTATAAGGCGTGGATTTTTTAAAAATATTTTTTCAAGGACTGTCTATAAGGCGTGGATTTTTTAAAAATATTTTTTCAAGGACTGTCTATAAGGCGTGGATTTTTTAAAAATATTTTTTCAAGGACTGTCTATAAGGCGTGGATTTTTTAAAAATATTTTTTCAAGGACTGTCTATAAGGCGTGGATTTTTTAAAAATATTTTTTCAAGGACTGTCTATAAGGCGTGGATTTTTTAAAAATATTTTTTCAAGGACTGTCTATAAGGCGTGGATTTTTTAAAAATATTTTTTCAAGGACTGTCTATAAGGCGTGGATTTTTTAAAAATATTTTTTCAAGGACTGTCTATAAGGCGTGGATTTTTTAAAAATATTTTTTCAAGGACTGTCTATAAGGCGTGGATTTTTTAAAAATATTTTTTCAAGGACTGTCTATAAGGCGTGGATTTTTTAAAAATATTTTTTCAAGGACTGTCTATAAGGCGTGGATTTTTTAAAAATATTTTTTCAAGGACTGTCTATAAGGCGTGGATTTTTTAAAAATATTTTTTCAAGGACTGTCTATAAGGCGTGGATTTTTTAAAAATATTTTTTCAAGGACTGTCTATAAGGCGTGGATTTTTTAAAAATATTTTTTCAAGGACTGTCTATAAGGCGTGGATTTTTTAAAAATATTTTTTCAAGGACTGTCTATAAGGCGTGGATTTTTTAAAAATATTTTTTCAAGGACTGTCTATAAGGCGTGGATTTTTTAAAAATATTTTTTCAAGGACTGTCTATAAGGCGTGGATTTTTTAAAAATATTTTTTCAAGGACTGTCTATAAGGCGTGGATTTTTTAAAAATATTTTTTCAAGGACTGTCTATAAGGCGTGGATTTTTTAAAAATATTTTTTCAAGGACTGTCTATAAGGCGTGGATTTTTTAAAAATATTTTTTCAAGGACTGTCTATAAGGCGTGGATTTTTTAAAAATATTTTTTCAAGGACTGTCTATAAGGCGTGGATTTTTTAAAAATATTTTTTCAAGGACTGTCTATAAGGCGTGGATTTTTTAAAAATATTTTTTCAAGGACTGTCTATAAGGCGTGGATTTTTTAAAAATATTTTTTCAAGGACTGTCTATAAGGCGTGGATTTTTTAAAAATATTTTTTCAAGGACTGTCTATATGGCGAGGATTTTTTAAAAATATTTTTTCAAGGACTGTCTATATGGCGAGGATTTTTTAAAAATATTTTTTCTAAAGGACCATCTGTACACCATATCAATTATCTTTTATTAATTTAAATGTATAAACATTTTCCCTTGTGGCTACGATAACCTGACCTCCCATCTTTAATCAACCTAATTTATTTGGGAGTCAGAAATGGTTTGCAATTAATTAAAATCACATTTACGATACACCAAGAAAGCTGAGTACAATTATAAAGTAATTTTTGAAAATTAATGACCTATCTACCCTTTTCCAATCACCTGGCCACACATATAAAATAGGCTATGATTTCATTCCATTTGATTGCCTCACGTTTTTCATTTTTCGAACAAAGGTCCGATAACAACATTAATTAAATTTAATTGCTCTGCTCTGTGCTTCAATCAGTTCTGATTACAATTTTCATTTTTCTCCCTATCTCTCACACTCTTCTCTATCTCCTTTTTTTTGCAGAGTAACAAGTCATTGGCCACCAAAACGACGTCGAAGATACTAATAACAACAACATGACACCTGCCTTACTGGAGCAGCACCAACAACATCATCATCAAACAACGCCGCTGGGCCATACATCATCCGCTATGGCCATGGCGATGTCGACAATGGCGATGGACAACGAATCCTTTGACTATCACGTGGCAGCCAGTACGGGCAAACAAAAAATGGATATTGCCGATGTCGAATCGAAATGGAAAGATGTACCGGACAAATATTTAATAATTATTGCCCACTTCTTGGATGGTCGCATCAATGACACCGATACCATGGATCGTTTTAATGGGCCCATCCTAAAGGCCAGTATCGAGAATTTCTATTGGATATTTTTGATCCAGTATGCCATCCTGGCGATGCTGGGCATTGTAATGAATGTGGCAATTATCGCGTACATTGTCTACCACCGGCTCTATCGGGACGTAACCCATGCGTTTATTATTAATTTGGCGTTTTGCCATTTTGTCCAGTGCGCCATCGTCCTGCCCATATCGCTGATGGTGATGTTAATACAGAACTGGATATTTGGACAGTTTTTGTGTTTTTTCTTGCCCATGTTGCAGGTGAGTAGGTTGGTTAGTTAGTTAGTTAATTAAGATAGCGCGAGATGCTCGTTAAGTGATAAACCATGTGAGTGAGTGAGCGGATGTAGAGGCCCGGAGGGATAATAACATTGTTGCTAGGGAGTTTTATATGATTTTTTATTTGTGTGTGTGTTGTACGTGATTTAAACAAACGTCCACTGCAGCATGTTATCCTGCTGATACAAATCTGCAGATTTTGGTTTTTATTTTTTATATTTATGGTAGCTATGGTGGTTACGTGCCGGCCAGATATAAACCATAAATATTAACAACATTAATTATATTAAGGTACGATGGCTTGGATATTTTACAGAATATTAAACCTTTTATCTCGTCAATGAAAAAGAGAGAGAGAAAGATCAAGGATTTTAAAGGAATATGTTTACAAGGACCTAAGCAAGCGTGAAATTTGTAAAGAAGATTTTTTCAAGGACCATAAGAAGCATGGATTTTTTAAATAAGAGGTGTGGATTTCTTTAAGAAAAATTTTTAAGGTCTATAAGAGGCGTGGATTTTTAAGGACTATAAGAGGCGTGGATTTTTAAAGAAGATTTTTAAGGACTATAACAGGCGTGGATTTTTAAAGAAGATTTTTAAGGACTATAACAGGCGTGGATTTTTAAAGAAGATTTTTAAGGACTATAACAGGCGTGGATTTTTAAAGAAGATTTTTAAGGACTATAACAGGCGTGGATTTTTAAAGAAGATTTTTAAGGACTATAACAGGCGTGGATTTTTAAAGAAGATTTTTAAGGACTATAACAGGCGTGGATTTTTAAAGATGATTTTTTAAGGCTCTTATAGGCTATAAGAGGCGTGGATTTTTTAAAGAAGATCTTTAAGGCTCTTACAGGCTATAAGAGGCGTGGATTTTTTAAAGAAGATTTTTAAGGCTCTTATAGGCTATAAGAGGCGTGGATTTTTAAAGAAGATTTTTAAGGCTCTCAAATGCTATAAGAGGCGTGGATTTTTTAAAGAAGATTTTTAAGGCTCTTATATGCTATAAGAGGCGTGGATTTTTTAAAGAAGATTTTTAAGGCTCTTATAGGCTATAAGAGGCGTAGATTTTTTAAAGAAGATTTTTAAGGCTCTTATAGGCTATAAGAGGCGTGGATTTTTAAAGAAGATTTTTCAAGGACCATCAAACGATTTTTTTAAAGAAGATTTTTCAAGGACCAACAAAGGATTTTTTTAAAGAATATTTTTCAAGGACTATAAGAGGCGTGGATTTTTTAAATATTTTTAAAGAATATTTTTTCAAGGATTATAAGAGGCGTGGATTTTTTAAAGAATATTTTTTCAAGGACTATAAGAGGCGTGGATTTTTTAAAGATTTTTAAAGAATATTTTTTCAAGGACTATAAGAGGCGTGGATTTTTTAAAGATTTTTAAAGAATATTTTTTCAAGGACTATAAGAGGCGTGGATTTTTTAAAAAAGATTTTTAAGGACTATAAGAGGCGTGGATGTTTTAAGTAACATTTTTAAGGACTATAAGAGGCGTGGATTTTTTAAAAAAGATTTTTAAGGACCATAAGAGGCGTGGATTTTTTAATGAATATTTTTTTAAGGACTATACATTTTCTAAAGAGTATTAATTTAAGGATCAAAAAGGCATACATTTTCAAAAGAGTATTTATTTAAGGACCAGAAAGGCACGAATTTTTAAAGGAGTATTTTTTTTAAGGATCGAAAAAGGCATAAATTTTCAACGGAGTATTTTTTTAAGGATCAAAAAAAAGCATAAATTTTCAAAGGAGTATTTGTTAAGGATCAAAAAAAAGCCATGCATTTGCAAAGGAGTATTTATTTAAGGGCCAAAAAGGCATGGATTTCAAAACATATTTTTTCGAGGACCAGAAAAGGTTCAAAAAAGATATGACGTTTTACAGGAGTATTTTTTAAGGACCAATATAGGCATGGATTTTCAAATTCGATTTTTTTTAAAGAATATTTTTTTAAGTACCAAAAAAGCGCAGATTTTCAAAAAAAAAAAAATTTTTCTAGGGCCAACAAAAGGCGGGAATTTTCATAGGAATGTTGAATTTTCAAAGAATAAGTTTTAGTTTTCAAGGATCAAAAAAGCCGTGGATTTTCAAAGGAAGGCGTGCATATTTTTCAAGAACAAAAAACAAGCGGAGAATTTTTAGAGGAATATTTTTTCAAGGACCAAAAAACTGTATGTTTAGAGGAATATTTTATCAAGGTCCCTCAGGTATGAGAATTTTTAAAGGAGTATTGTCTTTAAGTTTAAAATATTCAATAGTTTTGGTTATCCAGTATTTCATCATGTCTTAGAAACACTAATCCTTAGGAGCATATCCTTTCAGGTAAGATAATACATTTTCAATTATTCATATCATTGTCAAATGATTACCTTCGTTAAGGATTTATATCATTCCAATAGAGTTGAGAATATTTTAACTAAACGTTCTTTTAATTTATCCAAAGACTTTAAAATAAATCCTGAACGAAAATAACATTTATTGTGGATGTGGTAGACAAATGTTTTATTCATGAACAACGTATGGCTATGTGCAGCAACAACAACAAAAATGACATATAACACAGGACCATATTTTAAAACACTTTATGGGCTTTTATGAGGGAGCAGATACAACAACTCGAAATCCAATGATTGTACAGGACATTTATAAGGATTTCAAGGAAAATCAAAGGCGTACATGGGAAACGCATACATAGACGCATTAGAAATGCAGCTTTTTAAAACAAGGGGGATATACATTATACACTGACAAAAATGAAAAAAATCCTTATTTAAAAAAATGTTTCCTTAAAATGTTGTTTTTTATAGTCCTTAAAATTCTGGCTCTTTATAGTACTTGCAGAAATATACATTAAAAAATCCGCGCCTCTTATAGTCCTTGTAAAAATATTCTTTATCAAATCCTCGACTCTTATAGTCCTTGTAAAAATATTCTTTATCAAATCCTCGACTCTTATAGTCCTTGAAAAAAAGTATTCTTTAAAAAATCTACGCCTTTTGTGGTCTTTGCAAACAATTTCTTTAAAAAATCTACGCCTTTTGTGGTCCTTGCAAACAATTTCTTTAAAAAATCTACGCCTTTTGTGGTCCTTGCAAAAAATTTCTTTAAAAAATCTACGCCTTTTGTGGTCCTTGCAAAAAATTTCTTTAAAAAATCTACGCCTTTTGTGGTCCTTGCAAAAATTTTCTTTATCAAATCCTCGACTTTATAGTCCTTGCAAAAAAAATTCTGTATAAAATTTCGACTTTTATAGTCCTTGAAAAAATATTCTTTATAAAATCTTCGACTCTTATAGTCTTTCAAAAAATATTCTTTAATAAATCCACGCCTCTTATAGTCTTTCAAAAAATATTCTTTTAAATCCACGCCTCTTATAGTCTTTCAAAAAATATTCTTTAATAAATCCACGCCTCTTATAGTCTTTCAAAAAATATTCTTTAATAAATCCACGCCTCTTATAGTCTTTCAAAAAATATTCTTTAATAAATCCACGCCTGCTATAGTCCTTGAAAAATATTTTTTAAAAAATCCACGCCTGCTATAGTCCATGAAAAATATACTGTAAAAAATCCAGGCCTTTTATTGTCCTTAAAAAATATGCTTTAAAAGTCCTCGCCTTGATCTAGTCGGCCCTTGAAAAAATATTGCTTTAAAAATTTACAATTATTTTCTCCCTGTGCACCATTGTGTCCAACCACAGAATCCAAGCAGCAACCTCAAAATGAAAACAATGCTGGTCCGAACATTATTCATGTGATGACGTAAATTCCATTGCAAATGTTGTTATGGACCATCATACTCCATGCTTAGGAATCCTTTCCTCATATTTTTCTAGGAATTTTATACTGTACTACTTTGTTTATCTTGCGACATTGCTTTATGGTGTTCTTCCTTCACCTCTTCCCTGCCTTGCATCACTTACATTAAAAAAAGAAGAAAATCCCAACAAAGTGTCAATCTGTATGGATGTTTGCACAACATCACATCATTCCTTAACACTCCCATGGGTGGAATTTAGCCAGACGAGCAAGAAAAAGTAACCGAAGGAAAATGCCAATATGGACATTAGTGCAGGAAAACCTGACAATTCAACAATTCATGGATTTGCAACATCTTGCCACTAGTCCTTCTTAGTTAGGCTGTCTGTATCAATTATTTGTTTTTACTTTTACGATACACTGGATATGAAACAAAAATAGCAACAGTAAGGTGGAATAGGGTTTGGTGTCTTTGGGTCAATCAGTTTTGTTATCTTCCATAAGGTAAACCACAATTATATCGACAAATATTCAATTCCAAATTCATGACAATGCATTTAAAAATTATTTATGGGAATTCATTGATTTTTTGAAAATGTCTCAAAGAAATTGATTATTGATTTTTATATGTAATTGAATTTAATTAAAAAGTAGTAAATTTTTAAAACAATATTTTTTAATGGCTCAATAGGCATTTTAATTCGTCAATTTTTTAAGGAATATTTTCTCAAGGACTATAAGAGGCTTGGATTGTTTAAGAGTATTTTAAGGACTATCGACAGGCATGTATTTTTAAAGGAATATTTTTTCAAGGACTGACAATAACAGGCCTGGACTTTTAATAATTTTTTTTAGGGAGTTCAAAGTGCTACTAAAATTCGATGGGCAAATGGAATTTTTTGTATGGAGATCACTAATCGTGTGTTGAGTTGAATGCGCCGGTTTTGGGAAATTCGTACTAAAAGAGTACAAAAATTCTTAAACGGTAGTAAGTTTCTTTGAATTAAGTTGGAAATTTATCTTGGTGATTAGAAGTAAAATAAAGAGCTTCTTATAGAGCCTCCATCTACCTTTGAACTTGATTTATAGTTTGGAAAAATAAGTCGATAGGTATATTTTGGCTCAAATCGGGCTCAAATTGAATATTTTGACATTTTATGGGTAAAATACCACAAGGAGTGGACCAATGGGTCTCATCTTCGTACATGGCGCAG